GTGCCAGCTGCAATGTTGTGAATGCCGATGGGGAGACTCCACTCCATGTCTCTTGCACTGTTGGTCTTCCCTCGCTCACAACTGCTTTACTACAGGTAATGTAAATGTGCGTGTGTGTGTGTGTGGGTGCGTGTGTGTGTGTGTGTGTGTGTGTGTGTGTGTGTGTGTGTTTTATTCATATTGCATCAGATGAATAAGATGAATTTATATCGCCTACTGTGTGATTCTTAACTTAAGAGATACACTTTTTTTCTTAATGAAGTATACTACTGAAGAGATAAAAAAGTAGCTCATGAGTTTATTTCTACATAAATAAAAAAAGAAAACGCTTCACACTTCCTCTCGCAACTTCGCAGATCGGAGCCAATCCAAATCTTCAGACCTATTCCTCTTCGCCGGCCGGCACCCCAATCGATGCCAACGACCCATTTGCGGAGGAGGTCGAGGAGTCTCCCACGTCCAGCTTGACCTTCCGCGAAACCCCCCTGCACCGAGCCATCAAGAATAAGAATGAAGACGACATTAGGGCGATTTTAGATCATAAAGGTGCGGCTTCTACCGTTGTTGGTAAATTTGGAGTCGCTTTTTGTTTTTTGTTTTTCCTCCTGTATTTTCACTTTCTCTAATTTTTTATGTTTACTCATTTGTTTATATTCTGGGCCAGATTGAGGATGAAGAATGATTGACATATTGAATAAAAAAGTACTATCTACATAATAGCTTTGTGGTTATATTAGAGAGCATGCAGAAGAAAAGGTAACTGTGGTCATTATACTCTTCTTTTTTACTTCGATATATAACCTTTCTCTCCAGAATACTGTGAAAGCAACAAAGTGGACTCAGTAGTGATGCCTGACTTGAACCTGCGCGACTCGGACGACCTGACCCCCCTCGGCGTGGCTCTGGGAACGGGCCAGATCAATGTGGCAAAGCAGCTGCTTGAATCTGGGGCTGACATCAACACGACAGACTCCCAGGGGTATGGCCTCCTCCACATGGCCATTCAGGTCAAGGAGGTACAAGTGGCCACCTTCCTAATCAACAATGGTGCTGATGTTAACCTGAGGTGTGTTTTCTTTGATGTTGTTCTCTCATGCTTGTTATGAGTTCTAGATTCTGTGTTTATGATTTGTGGGCCGTTTGTCGTTTCTGAATGGGGATTGGTCATCTTTTATGATTAAATTTCTTTCTCTTTGAAGACAGGAACGTTTACTTCCATTTATGTGATAAAGATCTATGCATGATTTGTAAAGCTCTCTCAATGTTTCTTACCAGGACTCGCGATGGAGAGTCTCCACTACAGCTCTGCATCAGCGAGAGCCTCAGCGCTGTGGTGGGACTTCTGTGTGGGAAGGGAGCTGACCACAATTCCCATCCTAACTCCCCCGAACCTCCGCTGTGGCAGGCTCTGGACTCTAAGCAAGAGGACATTGCTTCCACACTTGTACAGTATGTTCATGGTGGTTTAACCCATGGTGTGATTTGAAGGAGTTTGAGGGAGGCTTAGGATATGTACATAAGAATATTTATTTGTAGTGATTGATTACTGTGAGGTGATTAAGGAATTAAGGATACAGTTTCCTTGTAAATTCACAGAAATGTAGATGTAAAAATGAGCCCCGTTGCAGGTACCATGTTGACACAGATGGCTGGGCTGAGGGTCCAGAGGGATGCCTGCAGACTTTACTACACAAGGCCATAGGTGAGAGTGGAAGACATAGAATTACCTGCATGTATCACTCTAGAGTAGATTGTTTTACTGTAGCTTATAGACATACTTCACTTTTAGAGTGAGTGAGTGAGTGTGAGTGTGTGTGTGTGTGTGTGTGTGTGTGTGTGTGTGTGTGTGTGTGTGTGTGTGTGTGTGTGTGTGTGTGTGTGTGTGTGTGTGTGTGTGTGTGTGCGTGTGCGTGCGTACGTGCATGTGTGCATGTGTCCATGGGTGCATGTGTGTGAGTGTGTATGTGCATCTTTTTTGTTTTTGTGTTTGTAGCCTGTGTGTATTGCAGATTAATTTTTTGGGAGTCTTTAACCAGTGTATATAGAAATCATGATTTGGAATCACCTTCTAGATGAGAACCGAGAAGACATCGCTTGTTTCCTGGTGAGAAGTGGCTGTGACGTCAATGCGGTGAGGAAGCCAGGTCCGGGCGGCGGCGGTGGTGACGCAGCGACAGATCAAATGACCCCACTGCACCTCTGTTGCTCTTGGGGGCTAGAGAATACCGTGCAAACTCTTCTTGAGCACGGCGCGAAAGTTAATGCGAGGGTAGGTTTTGCTGCGTTATTCTCCAGGCGACATGATGGGAGTAGATAGGAATGTGGGATGTTGATATTTTAGTCTTTCTTTGATATTTTGAGATTCTTTTGTGAGTGCTGTGAGATGCTGATTTACCTTCAGATTTGTATTTTTTATGCAATTTTTTTTTTTTTTTTCTCTCTCTCTCTTGATAAATTTTGTAAGGTGAATGGTATCCCATTTTGTTTTCAAAAAGTCAAAATAGTCAATAGTCTTAGGCTTGAAATTAAGGACTTAAGGCTTAACACATTTTGAATGTTTACATTTGGTTAGCAATCTCAGATTTTATGATTTCTCGTATATAATGATCTTATATTTAAGTGTATTAAGATCACTTAAATTAATCTAATCAAGGTAATTTGGATTTGTTATTCACACTTCATTTTTCTCTCTCTCTCGTATTGCAAAGGATGCTGAAAATAAGACTCCCTTGCACCATGCCATTGAAAACGCTCACAATCCCATCATTTCCCTGCTGCTGTCCCATCCTGCCTTGGATCTCTCGCTGCGGGACAAATCCGGCATCACGCCCTTCGCTGCGGCCATGTCGAGGAAGAACAACAAGGCTGCGCAGGCCATTCTGAGCCGGGAACCCAAGGCTGCGGAACAGGTGAGTTTTCTTGTTCTTTTATATTCTCTGTCTGTCTCTCTCTGTCTCTCTCTGTCTCTCTCTCTCTCTCTCTCTCTCTCTCTCTCTCTCTTATTTGTTTGTTTGTTTGTTTTTTTTTAGTGGAGTATGGGTAACATTACTGTCTGTTGTCTCCTTGTAGATAAGAAATTTTAAGGTGGTGTACATTGGTTATTGGTCTTTTCTCATCTTGATAAATTCCCTGTTTGCACGTCTGTAAATGTTGCAGAACATATTTCATTTGTTATTTTAAATCTTAATGAAAACAGTTGTAAAAGATGGAAAACTTGTAAATGATTGTGCAGTGATTATATGGAAGGACAGTTAGTATGTTTTGTCATGAGAATTTGATATCTTGAAAAAGTATTATGGTTATTCAAAGCTGACATAGGTATCCGGAAAACTTGCACCATTCTAGATCAGTAGTTTGTTCTCTGTGCTTTGAGTAATATGAATTATTAATTTGCAGTATGATCACAAGGGCCACAATTTCTTGCACGTAGCCATTCAGAAGAAGGACATGGAAAGCGTACTCTTCCTCCTGAGTATTCACGTTGACATGCACACCAGGACACAAGACCAGTTGTCTCTCACACCCCTGCATCTGGCTACACTCTCAGGGTCTGTAGGATGTTCTTAGTGTGTTTGATATTTGTGTTGTCGTGGAGGATGTGAGTTCACAGTTGGGAAAGTTGATGAATTTTTTAAAAGGTGTAAGTGATCCATTGATTCAGAATGCTAAGTGGAAATGTAGAGGTGTGATTAATGATCATATTTCAGGTCGGAGATGATTGTCAGAAATCTTTTACTGGCTGGAGGTGGAGCAATCAATGAGTTAACGCCGCAGAAGCAGACCGTTCTTCACCTGGCTGCGGCAAACGACCATCCCCATCTTGTCTCCATCTTCTTAGAGAATGGAGTCCGTTTTGATGCCGTAGATGACAATCACAACAACGCACTCCATGTGGCTGTCAAGGTAAATAATTGTTTAATATTTGCTCATGATCCCTTACAGTGAAAAGATAAAAAGGAAGATTTCACTTGATTTCTTGATAATACATATTTTTCACATTTACAGGAAGGCCATCTGTCTGTTGTGAGAGTGCTGCTAACCGAATCGAGGATCAACGCAGAGGCAGTGAACCTCCGCGGTCAGAACCCCCTCCACGTCCTTGCCAATTACCCCAAGGACAATGCAGCAGCCATCGCGGAAATGTTCTTGGAGACTATGCCGGACTATGATCTCAACAGGGTAGATGTAGAGGGAAACTCGGGTGAGTATCGAGAAGTGTGTGTGGGAATTTGCAGATAGATGTTTATTTATCAGTTTGTCTTTTGTTATTGTTTTTATTGTGTGTAATGGGTTCAAGCATCTTTTTGGATTAGGGTTAGCTTTCCCTTTTTGTCTAGTTGTGTTTTCCACTTCTCTTGTTCTTAATGGATTTGGAGTGTGATAGTCCTAAATGTAAATAGTTTTATTTATGATGGTAGATGTTAATAGTGATACCTGATAATGATGGAAATATGCAATTTCTGGTGTAAATATGTACATATTTCCCTGTTGTTGAGAAAATTTAAAACGTCATGAAAAGCTTTATTAGGATAGAAAGTCTAAAGGATTTATGAGGATGAAAAAGGTGAGGAAGAATTTTTCAAAGGATAACTGGAAGATTTGATATCAATGAAATATATAGGGATACAAGCAAGGAAAAAATTGTTTGTACAGTAAATCCTTGTTGCCGACTGAAGATTTTACAGTTATAACAGTTATTATACAGTTATTAAAAGTTACTATATGGATTTAAGTTATATTGTTTGGTGGTTAGGCCCTACTTTCAATTTACAAATCGGGTTATACTGTGAGGGTGTATATATAATTTCTCATTGTTAATCCTTTATCTGTATTCGTATAGTATCCCTTAATCTAAATTTTTGCTTATTGGATGAACTCTTTACTTGTCTGTCAGTTTTTGCAGATTTGTGAATTCACCAATGCTTTTTCCGATTATTTTTTTAATTCATTATTTTTTTTACAGCTCTTTTACTGGCCTACATGCGAGGTGCGGGTCAGCTTTGCCGAGTATTAGTACGGTCCGGAGCATGCCTGGGCTCGACCAATAAGCATGGTGTAAACATATTCAATTATCAGGTATTTATGATTATGTTTCTCTTGTATTTTTCCTTTCCCTTATGGGGCTGATGATTGTATGATTTTGTTCTTTATATACGTAATGTCTTTTTTTTAATTTCTTAAAGTGTACCATTTTATCCAATATTTTTACATTGATGTGTTCTGTGAGTTTGTGCTATATCAATGCTACTCAATTTTTACATCGTGGAGGATCCCCTGAAATGTTTTTTTCATATGTAAAGGAACTGCTACAACAATGTAATATATAAAATGCCTTTCTTACAAACTGATGAATAGGAAATTTTTGAGGGGCAGATATTGGAGGAGTAAAGTAGATTGGAGTGCGAGAAGGGTTTTCTAAATGAAGTGATACTAGTCTCATGCTCAGTTGTAAAATATGCTTATTTTCAAATTGATTGAGCTTTCCTTAACAGTATTTTAAATATGTGTTATAGAAAGAAAAAAAAGTATGATGAGTCAAAATAAAATGGACATACCTTTATGTGCATTCATTTGCTTACTTTTCTTACAAATTGCAGGTGCCAACCAAAGCACTGCTGTTTAGACTCCTGGATGTGCTATCGGCTGAGCCTCCGTGGAGCGAAGGGGAACTCTGCATGGAGTGCGGGACCAAGTTCGGCCTGGCCACAAGGAAGCACCACTGCCGTCACTGCGGTCGACTCCTCTGCAGCAAATGCTCGGATAAGGATGTGCCCATCCTCAAATTCTCGTTGAACAAGCCTGTTCGAGTATGTCAGACCTGTTTTGATGTACTTACCTTAGGACCAGCAGCTATATCATAGTAGATGTTTTAGAATAAGTAAAGAAGTCAAGTCCATTCATAGCAAGAGTATTTTCTTTTTCTTTTTCTATACATTTGATATAACCAGTTTATTACAGTTAACCTAAGACTTATAATGATGGTGCCACTATGTGATTTAAGTGACAGAAGTGTATCATGTGATCAAGCTAAACGTTTCACTTCAAGTCCATGCTGTACTTCCTACTTAGGCAAATACTCACTGCCAAATATACATTCGAGGAAATCTTTACTTGGGAATCATGGGATTCGCTTGCAAACACATCTGGATGAAATTGGAAGAGAGGCTGCTCTTTTACAGGAAGAGCTGCTCAAAATTTTGAACAGGATTAATACTTTTGGAAGGATATTAAAAGGTAGACTGAATTGTATAGGTTGTTTGGTCAGCACATCCAAAAATGTTTTGCCCTTGAGGAAAGTGAGTGAAATCGTTCCCAGGTGAAGTGGTAAACTATGATCTTGGTTAGAAGATATGATATAAAGTTTTGTAAGCTTTTTAAGATGGAAAGAATTTCACTTGCAAAAAGGGGGAAATTTTGTTGGTCAAATTGTGAGTTTCCTGTGATTTTTTTCCCCCATAGTAGAGGAGTTTTTAGTTCCTGTACAGTGATTTTATGTAATATTCCTTTGTTTGTTGAAGAGAAACAATGGAGCTAATGAATATTTAAAGAAAAAATCTCATTTCATTGTTTTATTTATATTTATTATTATTATTTTAGATATACTCATTTATGTTCACAAATATGGCATATAGAAGCATAATGGCAAACTTGCCACTCCCTCAGAAAGCATTCTGTCTCACTCAAAGTACTTTTTCCTAATGATATGACATGAGTCTGGCTAGTTTATGGTTCCCAGTATTTGTGGATAAGCCCACAGTGTAAAATCACCACATAAGCTGGGGTCCTGTGTTGTTGCATGACAACAGTCACTTGCCTTTGGCCTGCTGGCTTGTCCCATAGTGGGGTACATCCTGGCCAGTCAGCACATGCCAAAGCTATTGAATGTCTCTCCTGCAAATCCTCTCGGCATCATCCATAACTGTTGTTAAAATCACCAAGCATTGCATCACGTGAACAGACAGTGCTGTCTCATTAACCCAATGGTGACGGGTGAAGAAAACAAAAAAAAAAACTCTACACTCTGGCGAACTATGGCAGCGTGCCGACTTTAACCCAATGGCGCTGGGTGTACAAAACAAAACAAAAAAAAAAACTCTACGCTCTAGCAAACAAAGGCGGCACGCCGACTTTGAGCACATGAGTAGGGGACATCAGCCCGAATCACTAGCTCACTGCGCTTTGGCGCGCTGCTGCGGCGTACAGCCACTCGCCAGCTTTCGAGCGGTTTGTTTTCACGCCGATCGGTGTCACCTGGCGTTAAGGGGTTAAGCGCCTGAGTTTGGTACATCAGCCCGATTCACTGGCTTGCCACGCTTTGGCGCACCGCCGTGGCATACAGCCACATGCCACTTTTTGAGTAGTTTGTTTTCACTCCTAGCAGCGTCACCCGTCAGGAAGGGGTTAAAAAAGAAAAAAAAAATGGATTCTTCTAAATTTAGCTTCATAAATGTGATTGTGTAAAGCACTGTTGTTACCACTGTCATCCACATTCACAGTTAT